CCCTCCTTCTATCCCCTCCCTAATTCTCCCTTCCCTTTCCCTTCCCTACTCTCCATTTCCTTTCCTTTCCTTTCTTTTTTGTACTGGAGATCGAACCCAGGACCTTGCCAGGCAGGTGCTTATGCTGCTGAGCTATCTCCCGGCCCCAGCAGCTTTCTTTCTAACCCGCATCTGATTTTAACCCTGAGACAAGTTCATTCCTACCAGCTTGAACTGTGAGCCTCCTCGCTCTTGGCCAGGGATGGAAGGTTCAAGGCCGTTGATGAAGCTTCGTCCCTTCTCGTGCTGGCTATTGTGTCGTAGCCCTTGCTTCAGGGCCTAATCCCCGTCCTCGCAGTGTGATTTACAGACTCCTCTCCATCCTCCCTTCCTTCAGCTTTTGGCTTTTTAATGGCAGGAGGCTGTTTCCTGAGAGGGTGAGTGTTCATTCCGTGATGGTTTCTTTTGCAGTCCCAGCGTGGTGAATTCAGCTTCCTCTGCGATTAACATGTCCCAGGAAACTGCAAGGAAAGCACCTTCATCTCCGGCCAAGGTAGACTGAGTCTAAACTTCAAAAATCTGATTTTTGGTGGGAATGCTGTTTTTCTCATTTTGTCAAAGCACTATAGAATAAAGAGCATTCTGTAGTACTTCTTTTTGCTACCAGGTACAGAGTACTTTTACCGCTTAGCATAAGAAGTCACAGTTGCAGTGTATGAGGTTACTGAATCCTGGGTTCCTAGCTGCAGACCCAGATTTCTTCCCATAGAGAGTAAAATCTGAAGCTATTTGGTGCTGCTGCTCTTAGGGATAGGGAACATGGCTCATTCGTTCTACCTCTGTCGTTTTCTTTGTTCAGAGCTTCCAGAATCTCTGTTAAAGTTCTGCTACTCTGAGGACGTTGCCAATTTATACAACTGCAGACAGTAAACGTAGGTTTTAAGTCTTATATTAATAAAACTCTGGGAGCCAGGGAGATGGCTCAGTGGAATAAGCGCTTCCCTGGCAAGCTCAAGGGCCTGAATTCAATCCCTGGTTCTGCCAAAAAAAATAAATAGATTAAAAAAAAAAAAAACCCAAAAAAACTCTGTCTTTAGCATTGACCAACTGTGAGGTGCGCGTGGTGAGGTAGCTGAAGCATCTTCTACGTCACTTGGAAGAGTCAGCCACGAGGGTATCTCCCACAGCCGCAGTCTAGAACGGCCTGTATGGTAGACGGAGCACTGGTAGAAATCTCACCTGGTTCGAGACCAAGGTTTGCTCGGACTATAGCCAGGTCTTTGATAACTCCAAGCCCACATTTTCTCACCCATAAAATGTGGATTTTTTTTTTTTTTGGTGTGAATGCCTTTTTAAAAATCTATCTTGATAGGTCTCTGGCTCTGAGTATATCTTATGTAATTTTACTTATTTATTTTTGGTGAGGCACCTATGTGGTATGATAGAAGCTACAGTGAAAGGTTCCATTTCAAAAATGTGTGATAGGCTGGGGAGATAGCTCAGTGGAATAAGTGCTTGCCTGGCAAGCATAAGGTCCTGAGTTCGATCCCTGGTACCACCAAAAAAAAAAAAAAAAGCATGATAATAGCAGATTATAATACTCCTGTAATACTCCTCGCAGTATGCCCCCCTCACTTCAAACAATCTATCCTGTCTGTCTGAAGCGGCTCTGGAAGTTCTCTTTTGTAAATGTCTTTCCTTGTGCCCTGCTGTCTTAATGACCTGAATCAATTCAAAACATTTCCCTTTCACAGTCCTGTGACTTTGGGAACGAGCCAGGAGTCACCAGGCGCCAGACCTGCCGGGAGAGGGGGAGGAGGGCGCAGGGTGATGTTTTCTGAACCTGCCTTTCCTCCGATGCCACTCAGCAGCCTGCGCATTCTGTTTTCTTTTTATGATGTCTCGGAAAGACCTGAAGGAGGCCATCCAGCACTGCATTAGGAAGAAGCGAGGACAGCGGGATAAATTTGTTTAAAACGTAGGGGAGTATTTTGAGGAAAATTAATATAATGGTGCCTGTAACAATTTTTAAAATAGAAGCATTTCTTGTATAATTTGATCCCCTCCTTGTATGGTAATTCTGTGCTTTTGAAATCAATCAGGTTTTTTTTTTTTTTTTTCAAACATGCCAGGTTATGAAGTTGATTGGGTAAAACTGTCATATATTGGTGGTAATAAACTTTTGCTCACACTGAGCTGCTGTTATGACATTCAAGCAGAGTTTAATAAACAGGATTTTTCCCCAGCAAAGGCGGAATCCATTCAACAGCTCCAGGTTCCCTGAAGACCACTTACTGCAGCAAACCAGAAGTGAGCCATCAAAAATTGGAAGTGCTGGTTTACTTCAGATTTCAAAAGAGGGTAAATATTATTTTTGTGGACTGGATATTTTTATCTTTGTTATCTGTGGACTAGGGAAAATTCCTGGAGATCCTTTCACATACGTAACTTCCCGAAGAAAGTGGAAAGTTCTGAAGGGTTTCTCACTCTGTTTGTGCCTCTTGGTTTTTTCCTTCAGGGAAAAGAGACAGAAATTTTAGTCACTGGCACTCGTGTGTGCTTTCATCAGTAAACTGGGAAATTTTTAAATCAAAAACACTCAATCTAGTTTCACATAAAAGAATTTGCTAACCATCATGTTGACTTGCTCTATGTGGTAGTGCACCCGTGCCTATAATCCTAGCGTGGGGGAGGCTGAGGCAGGAGGATTGCCATGGGCCCAAGGCCAGCCGGGGCTACCTAGGTGAGTTCAAAGCCAGGCTCCAAAAATATAAACAAACAAACAAAAAGCTCCACAAAACCCAGGATATCTCGAGACAAAAAGGCCACTTGATAATGTTATAATCTTCTAATCTATAACTATCAGCCCAGAATTGTATTGTTCTTATATACCATTAAAGGAAATATGAGAAAACTCAGTCTCTTCCAAAGCAGTTATGGGAACATTCTACCTGTATTAAAGATTAGTCAAAGAGCAAAAAAAAAAAAAAAAAAAAAAAAAAAAAAAAAAAAAAAAGAAAGAAAGAAAAAGAAGAAAGAAAAGAAATTAATGACTGAACAGTGGACTAAGGGTTTCAAGTTTTAAACAAATTTATCCCGCTGTCCTCGCTTCTTCCTAATGCAGTGCTGGATGGCCTCCTTCAGGTCTTTACGAGACATCTCCTGCCTTTTTTTTTTCTCGGTGGTGGCATTGTGGATTATTTATGGCTTTCTCACTAAGAAAGCCCCCTAGAACTTTTAAAAATTATTTTTATTTTATTTAAATAGGGTCTTATTAAGGTGTTAGGTTGCCCAGACTAGACTTACACTTGGAACCCTCCTGCCTCAACCTCCCAGAGTGCTGTGATTATAGGCATGCACCCCATGCCTGGCCAATTAACCTGTTTAATATGGTTTTCATTGGACAAAACTTTCTATACTATGAAGTTCCATGAAGTACATAAATCATGGTAATGCTAAAGGTTGAGTACTCGCCACACGCTGCGCTGGCCCTTCCCCCTGGGCAAGCTGAGCAGGCCATTGAGACCGGGCTTGCTAGTGCAAGCCTATAATCCCAGCACTGGGGAGGCTGAAAACAGGAGGATTGCTGAGCCTGAGCTGTGTAGTGAGACCCTATAGACTTGTACTGATCCTCTGTACTAAATACATTTTTAAAAAATGTTCAACACAATGAAATTCATACATTAATTTTTGATAGGCTATTTCTTAGAGAGCTGGTTCACAGCGTAATTGAACAGAAGGTTCACACATTACCCACGTATACTTATTCCCATGTAGGCGTAGTCCCCACCATTCTGGCGTATTTGCTATCATTGATTAACTACTCTGAGATGTCATTACCACCTGAAGTTGAGTGTTTACACCAGGGCTTGCGGTTAGGGTTGTACACCCTGTAGATTTAGACAAATGCATAGGGGCCGGGGAAATAGCTCAGTGGAATAAGTGCTTGCCTGGCAAGCTCAAGGGCCCGAGTTCAATCCCCAGTTCCGCAAAAAA